GATGACAGGTCAGCACCTAGATATCTGTTACATGTCACGTAGTGACAGGTCAGCACCATGCATGACGTCAAGGTCGCGTACTCCTCCCCGCGGTCCCCTCGCCACGGAGTACCCCCCCTCCCCGCTGTCCCCTCGCCAAAGCCCCCCGCCCCGCTCCCCCCTCGCCAGAGTTAGAACCGGCCTCTATACCCTACTCCGAGGTGCTGGTTTACAATTTTTATACTTAAACATTATCGCCGTCGTCCGTTGGTGGCGCACTCTCGGACAGGAGGACCAGCTTGCTCACGGGCCGCGTGAAACTCGAAGCTGCGGTGCGCATCCTGACGACTCGAACGTGCCCGTCGCCCCCGGGATGCACCTCCACGACTCGGGCGAGCGGCCACTTGGTCGGAGGGGTGAGCTCGTTTCGCAGCAAGCACAGGCGGCCTACGCGCACGCCCACGTCGCCCCGGCACCATTTTGGGCGATGCGCCATCGCATTGACGACTTCCCGGGACCACCTAATTCAGAGGTGGTCCTTCATCTGTTGGACCCGCTGGTACCGGACGAGCCGATTCGTTGGCTCTTCGGCTAGAGAAGGCTCCGGGACCGCGCTGAGTGCCGTGCCGACGAGGAAGTAGCCTGGCGTCAGCGCTTCGAGGTCCTCTGGGTCGTCTGACATCGCCTGAAGTGGCCACGAATTCAAGCACGCCTCGATCTGCGCCAGGAGAGTGGCCATCTCCTCGTACGTCAATGTTACATCCCCGATCACACGACGCAGGTGATGCTTCATGGACTTCACCGCCGCCTCCCAAAGTCCTCTGAAGTTCGGGGCCGCGGGCGGATTGAAATGCCATTCAATCCGCTCGTCGGCGAGATAAGCGGCGATGCGGCGTCCTTCCCTGCATCCGGCCGCGAAGAGGGCCCGGAGCTGGGCATCCGCTCCCACGAAATTCGTGTCACAGTCGCTGTAAAGGGCCTTGCACAGCCCGCGACGGGCGACGAACCGACGTAGGGAGGCCAAAAAAGCGTCCGCGGTATAATCGGACGCTACGTCCAGATGCACTGCCCGGGAACTAAAACAGACAAAAACTACGACGAACGCCTTGGATGCTCGGTGGCCTCGGCCCTTGGACGTCCGCAGCCACACTGGTCCGGCGTAGTCCACTCCCGTGTGGAGGAAGGGGCGTGAAGGCGTCACTCTGGCTCGCGGAAGGTCGCCCATCAGAGGCTGCGGGGAGGCCGCCCGCCATCGAAGGCACGGCAGACATCGTCCGATGTGGCCCTTCACCAGTGCACGGCCCCGTGGGATCCAGTACTCCTGTCGCACCGCCGCCAAAGTCAGCTGGGCGCCGCCATGGAGAATCCTCCGGTGACACGCCTCAACGATGAGTCGACTGAGGTGCGAGTCATCGGGTAGGATTATCGGGTGCTTCTGGTCGTAGGCCAAGAGCGCGTGTTTGAGGCGGCCGCCCACGCGCAGGATTCCCTTCGCGTCAAGGAACGGGCTCAACTTGATAAGTTGACTGCGCGCCGGCAGCGGCTCGCCTTTTTTGAGTGTAGCCAACTCTCCTTGGTATTTGTAAGCCTGTACCAGCCGGATCCAGCCCCAGCGAGCCTCGTCGAGCTCGATCGTCTGGAGGCTGAGCGGGGAGGCCGTCTCTCGTGCCGGCGGTCGCAACCAGCGACGACACCAGGCGCTGATCCGGAGCAGACGCGTCAGGGAGGAATAGAAAGTCAGCATCGCTGGCTCCTCGCAAGCAGCAGCGGCGTGAGCTCGAGTACGCTGCTCGGGAAGATCGCACGTCACCACCTTGTCCGCCTGGGTTGTTCAGGGCCTCCCCTGCCGAAAATGGTCGATTAAAACGGATTACTTTTTAATCCGTTTTAATCCATTTTAATCGGTTTTAATCTGTTCAATCCGCGACCAGATTAAAAAGTAATCGATTTTAATTCGGAACAAATTACAATCAGTTTTAATATCGCCTGCGCGGATTATTTCCGAAATCATTACATTTTAAAACCTATTGTTGTCAATCCAAATAAACACAAATAATCAGATGGATATATAATCCAAAATAATCCATCTAATATGCAATTTTAATTCATTATAATAAATATCCAATTTTTAGTAATTGAATTGATTGTAATCCGATTTAATCCAAAATTCACTGATTTCGGACATATCAGCTAATCGGTTTGAATGCAATAAGAATCCAATTTTGTCTAACAATAAGTAAGAGTAATTCGTTCTAATTTCAAATTATAAGATTTTTCGGATGAAAATGAAATCGGATTTAATAATGCAATTAAATCATATTTTTATCATAAATATTATATTCGACTGTGTGTATACAAAAACAAAATTATATTGATTAGAAAGTTTATTTATTATTGAATTTCAAATATATTCGGAGGTTTGCATAAATATCTACAATATCCTACATCTATGTGAATAACCTTGCTTTTGACATCGTTTATGGGAACTATTGAGCTGTTTACATAATCTTCCGATTCTATCCTATCCATGTACGACACATTGAACGGTTTGTTGGAACTAACTGTAATTTTTGATATTTGTATGTGGCATTTATTATTTAATAGAATGATGTGTATTATTTGACCATATTCGCCTGAATGTAACTGAATTATTGTATCGTTCGTCCTCCTCGTTTTGCGATACTTCTGGCTGTGATATACAACGCCTCTAACGATGCATTTTTTATATGCTTTATACATGTTATCATCGCATTTTACTGTATAGTATTTACCAATGAAAACGACATTGTTGTCATCATACGTATCGGATTTTGATAAATGTTTGTATTGAAATAAATTTGTGCAGTAGTCACGCACGGCAGGTACATCACAATAATCTAGATTATCCGTTAGATAATGCAATATCTCCAAGGACTTTTTCGACATTTGCTGGTCAATTCCGTTTGAACCATTCATACATTGTTTCAATTTATATACAGGGTGTATCATTTTAAGTGATGGAGCTAAATATCTCTTAAAATAAAAGAGATAGGAAAAATGTTTTAAACAATAGTTTTACGGTTCCAAGGGAGGCAGAAGTTGGCCATGTCAGTTTAATTGTAGGTGGCGCCACTTTCGAGATTTCTACATGGCGGCCATTGTTGCAAATGGCAACCGATTTTTATGTTCCAGTGAATGTCGTAGGTCGTAGGTGACATGGAGACGAATACAACGGTTTTTTATTTTTTGAAATTGGATCATTTTTCACTGAGTTACAATGTTCCAAAGTTTATAATTTAAGTAAGGCTTCGAGCCCCATACAGTGTGCGTATTTTGTGACTTCAAACTGTCCTTCTCTCTCTTTCCCCCCTCTCTCTCGCTCTTTCTCTACCTCTCTCCTTCTCTCCCCCCCTCTCTCTCTCTGTGCGTGCGCAGTCCACGTCGTCATCGGCGACCTGGAATACGTGAACAT